TAAGTCATTCTGGGTGCTTTACTACGGTACAGACGCTGCGTTTGTCGCTGTTACGGCCGAATGGTGGAGAGTAATTTCTCAAAGCTGAAGCTCTGTCATGTTGACTAACAGATCGCTGTGGTGCTGGAGAAACTCTCTGAACATCACTCAAATTAAGAAAGTGAAATCAGATCTCGCTGTAGAAAGATGCCACAATACCTGAGAGCAGCCAGCGTTTATCCTGGTGATGGGAAAACAGATTAACAGCAGTTTATGGAGTTTTCCAGTTTTTTAATCTGACCTTGAGATCCGACTGTCATTTTGCAAGCAATGAAATGGCTGAACTAATGCTGTCAGAGTCAGATTACAGCATTTATCTGCTGCTCCTCGTTCAGTGCACGGTCAATGCCACACATGAGTGTAACTGAGAGAAATCAGACGCAGACGGACCTGATCTCTGCTGGCCGTCTGAAGGTCTGACAACACACAACACACCTGCGCTTCACTGAACACATCTGCAGCTCAAACACACACTGTGTGTCATAGGACTTACAGTATTTTAGTCTGAAAGCCTGTAAACTCAAGTTATTCTAATTGACTAAACATAACAGTGTAACGTTCAGCCTAAATAAGGCAGGCTACACAAATAAAGTTTGTTCTTTTTACCTCTTAACAGTGGGGTTGAAGGAATGCAGGTACAAAAAATAACTACCAAAATAATAAATGCCAACCCAAAGTGTTAAGACCTCAGAGCTCTGCAACGATTCCTGGGCTTGGCCGGGTGGTACCATAAATTCATTTCCCACTTCGCTGCCATCACTGCTCCATTGAACCACTTCAAAAAGAAAGGAGTTAAGTGGGAGTGGACTCCAGAATGTCAAGATAGCATGAATGCACTTAAACAAGCATTACAAAACTCACCTGTACTCATCCAACCAGACCTCAACAAAAACTTCCAAGTGCATACGGACGCGAGTGATCTAGGACTGGGTGGTATCCTCACTCAACATGCTGTGGAAGGAGAAAAGGTGGTGGCATATGCCTCACGGACTTTAACAGGCGCAGAAAGAAATTATAGTACGTCTGAAAAAGAATGTCTAGCTGTGGTTTGGGCTGTTGAAAAGTGGAGGCATTACCTGGAGGGGAGGACGTTTGATGTCTTTACGGATCATGCTGCACTCGCCTGGGCCTTCAACTACCCCAAAACCTCCTCACGCATCACACGCTGGATTCTCCGGCTGCAACAATTCAACTTTCAGGTCCATCACATGAAAGGCTGCCTTAAAATGGGGCCAGATGCCTTGTCCAGGGTAGGCGAGACACCTTCTAGTCATGCTGTCCCATGTCTTTCCATAACTTCTCATTCAGCCATCTTCCACTGATGCCGCCCCTTTTCTCTCCATATCAGATCACTTGTCTACCTTGCCACATTGATTGGAAGAAATTGCTAAAGCTCAAGGTTTGGATAATACCATCACTCATCTGCAGTCTGGCATCCAACCTCGCTCAGCCAAAGAACAGCCCATCACATTTGAAGACCACCAAGGGGTGTGGTACCGCAAAGTTCCTTTGAAAAATAAAGGAGAAAAATATCAGCTGGTGGTACCACAGACACTGAGAGCTGACTTCATGCACTATTACCATAATAATTCCCTAGGAGGCCATCTTGGACAGCTAAAAATCCTGCTGAAGATCCTGGAGGTGGCATGGTGGAATCATCACTCACCTGCAGTCTGGCATCCAACCTCGCTCAGCCAAAGAACAGCACATCATCTTTGAAGATCACCAAGGGGTGTGGTACCGCAAAGTTCCTTTAAGACATAAAGGAGAAAAATATCAGCTGGTGGTACCACAGACACTAAGAACTGACTTCATGCACTAATACCATGATAATCCCCTAGGAGGCCATCTTGGACAGCTAAAAACACTGCTGAAAATCCTGGAGGTGGCATGGTGGCCGTCCGTCAGGAGAGACGTTTGGCAATACATCAAAAGCTGTGAGGTTTGCCAGAAATACAAGCCCAGCAATACAAAACCATCCAGACTTTTACAGATTCACAGTTCACAGATCACTGAACCTGGGCACACTCTATGGATTGATCTAATGGGTCCACTTCCCACCATTAAGAAACAGAACACTTACCTCCTTGTCATTGTGGACTATTACACGAAGTGGGTGGAGATGTTTCCACTTCGGGATGCCAAGACCCAGAAAATAGTGAAAATCCTCCGGGAGGAGATTTTTACTCGTTGGGGAGTCCCTAAGTTCCTGGTGTCTGAAAGGGGTCCCCAGTTCACCTCCAGCATTCTGGGCGATCTGTGCAAGACATGGGGTTGTGTTCAGAGACTAACAACAAGCTATCACCCACAAGCAAACTTAACAGAAAGAATCCGGACTGTAAAAACAATGATTGCTGCATATGTGGGACAACAACATCAAACCTGGGACCAGTGGCTACCAGAATTCCGCTATGCCATCAACACCGCCCAGCAGGAAAGCACGGGGAAGACACCTGCAGAGCTCATGTTGGGTAGGCAAGTGCTGGGACCACTGGAACGCCTAATCCACCGACCACCTTCACCTGATCAGGCTGCGTATTCCCTGGTGGAACGACAGAACATCCTGGAGGAGGAGGTGAAAAACAGGATGAGAATGAGCCAAGCCAAACAAGCTGGGTATTATAATTACCGTAGAAAAAATGCGCAGTTTCAACCAGGTGACCTAATTTGGTTAAAACCCATCCTCTTTCCAGTGCCAATTCTCCGCCAAGCTAGCGCCCAAGTGGGAGGGTCCAGCTGAAATAAAAAGTAAAACAGTGCCAGTAAATTACACTGTGTGCTGGGGCAACCCACCTGGGCGCTAGCTTGGCAGAGAATTTGTTAGAGGCATTGGAATGTTAATGTTAATGCCCCGTCGAGTGTTGTGGACCCTCTTTCTTCTCGCGAGAGTTCGCTTGCGAAGTGCCAGGGAATCCCCGTGACGTCACATCGATCAGATGATTTGACACGTCCGATAAAAGAAGCCGGTTAGCGGCGTTCATGAGCTACGCTCAATGTGCCCACTTGGGGATACGCAACGATCGATCGTCTCCCACATGCTGCTGTTATTTGCTGTGAACATTGTGGAATTCTCAGCGTGGAATGGTGAAATATAAACTTGAGTTTGTTGAACTATTTGAGTTGGATTTCCTCACAGGACAGCGCTGTTCCTCAACGTGCTCCCGGACTCTATACAAATTCACCGGTGAGGCCGAACTGAACACACACATACTATTGGACTTTCAAGGACAGTACACACACATGCTCATACATTGATTGTATATATTTATATATATCGTTTTGTTGTCTTCTTGTGAAATACACTTTGGGTTGGCATTTATTATTTTGGTAGTTATTTTTTGTACCTGCATTCCTTCAACCCCACTGTTAAGAGGTAAAAAGAACAAACTTTATTTGTGTAGCCTGCCTTATTTAGGCTGAGCGTTACAACAGTGTAATCCACCGTAGTTTAGCACCTTCATTGATGGAGTGTCTTCAGTTCTGATATTCCTCATGATGGTTTTTATAGAGTGCATTTATACCAATATTGAACGTAATGTCGTATTGAAGCGAACTGAAGCCGAGACGCTTTTGAGAGAGTTGCTATACAGTTTTTTTCATCTGCTTACACACAGAATCTTCACTTGTCACAGTTTCTGAAAGCTAACACTCAAACAGCAGAAGCACACACCAAATCTACAAAACCATACACTAATTCTGTCTTTGACTCAGTTTTCAATTTCATAAAACACTTTTTGCAAAACACAACACACAATTCTCTATGTAACACACACCAATCTAACAGGAATGAATATTATGGCAAAGCTGTTTGCAAATGTTTGCTTTTGAGATGTGTTTGTGATATTTTGAATGTGTGTGATTTGTGTGTAAAAATATTTTAAAAAGAGACAAAGTTTTGAAAATGTAAGCAGTTGAAAAAAAATTGTAAGAGTTTACAAAGTGTTTTATATTACTTCCTTTAATAAATACATGAAAAATGCATCTTGTTTTGTGTTTTTGTTCATGAAGTGACACTTTTATGCATTCACAGTTTTTGTTTGAAGATCTGATGACTTTCAGTGTGAAAATGCATTACAGACAGTTTAAACAAACTTTTCAGACTGGTCTGATTAAGAGAAAGTATGGTAGTGTAAATGCTCTTCACTGGTACATTTTAAATACACAATCATTTTAAAACAATTTTAATTTTTAATTTATTTTACACAATGTAATGTATGAATGTCATTTCAAATGTGTAAAAACTGGTATGTCTAATTGTTTTTGGGTCTGTTGTGTATTTAAATTTTATTTCTATCCACTTGTTCATTTGGATACGATCATACTTGTAAGGCAGTTAACAAAAAGTGTGAATTATGTGAATCAATGTATAGGCCTAGAAAGGCAGAAATCAAAAATATAAATTAAAAGTTTACAAAATATTAATTTTTGTAGCTAGTATGTCTAATTATAGAAAAACATAGACGACGAATCATTACTGATGTGTCTGTTTATTTGAAGCTTTTACATACTAATATTGATTCATGTTTATTAACAAGATAGTGGAATAGCAGATATCAAATTTAATGCTATACTATAATGGCAATTTTATCATTGCTAAGATCAGTAAGTAATTGTTACCAATGCATGTGGCCATGTTTGTTTATTGAAATGCATCATCAGAGAACAGAAAAAGTCAAAATAAAGTAGCCCGTCCACTGTGACCTCAGATGAGAGAACGAGGCTGTCAGACTGGGTGGAATATGGAGTTACGTAATACATTCTGTATATGAAGCTTCAAATTACTTTCAAAAGGTGATTCACTCCATTTTTGTTGAGATACTATGCATGTCAAAAACAGTTCATATCCAGCCGAATCATTGTCGTTTAGGATTTAACGTGTAATTCTGCAGCTCTATCAGAGACAGATGGACAGCATTGTCATGCAACTAATCATTTGCATTGTTGTTTGTTTTCTCGCACAGCACCGCTGACTGACAAGCCTCCCAAGATCCTCTACCCATCTGAAAATAAGATGAACGTCATGGAGCTGCAGCTGGGTGAGAACAGCGTTTGTTATGGACTGATATTACATAACTGTCTGAGGGATCTTACAGTAATGCATTGTGCTGTGTGTGTGCGTGTGTGTGTGTGTGTGTGTGTGTGTGTGTGTGTGTGTGTGAGTGAGTGTGTGTGCGTGTGTGT